ACTGAGAGATCTGATCCAATGATCAACGTTATCATCATTTGTTGCGTTAAGACTTTGAGCTAAAGTTAAAGTAGAATCAAACAAGTTATTACCTTCAATTCTATAAAATGATGACATCAGACACTTGGGTCAGTTCGAGACTCAAACTGAGAGATCTGATCCAGTGATCAACGTTATCATCATTTGTTGCATTAAGACTTTGAGCTAAAGTTAAGGTAGAATCAAACAAATTATTACCTTCAATTCTATAAGGGGAAGCAAGAGTTATAAGTATTCTCTTAGAGGGAATAACGTTTTGTGTCAATTCCTCTTTTCGTCGGGATATTAATGGTAACAACTCTAGAAAAGAGAAATCTCTAGGAAAATTCTTTGCTTGTCCCTTTAATCGTTGTTTCAAGTTTTTTACAAGGCTGCCGAAATGCAAGCTTTTCGTTTTCAACATATCTAAAGACACATCAGACATCACGTTCGTTGTTAACTTTTCAGCACGAGCATCCGTAAAAGTCTTGATAGCCTTCGAAATATTAACGGAATGGCGAATAAGTAAGCCAGTATCTATTGTATTGTTTCAAGTTTTTTACAAGGCTGCCGAAATGCAAGCTTTTCGTTTTCAACATATCTAAAGACACATCAGACATCACGTTCGTAGTTAGTTTTTCAGCACGAGCATCCGTAAAGGTCTTAATAGCTCATTCTCACTCCGATAATTTTCTCCCAGCGGAACATCCTTGTAATCAGCGGTCTCTTGCTGAATCAAATCCCTAGGTATGTAAGGTAGTAAATCAGTCCTTTTGAATGCTGGCGACAGATAAGCGCATAATTTCTTTTCAGGGGGAAATCAACTCAACGCATCTGCGTGAGGAATACTCAACCCCTTGCGGTATTCTACCGTATACTGATATTCATTAAGTGTGGTAAACCATGCTATTGCGCGTCTGCTGTCGCTACTCTTTTGGCGACTCAAGTAGGGGATAGCGATGTGATCAGTTCGAATGATAAAAGGATGTCCCCATAAATAGGAACGGAACTGACTAACCCCATAGTATACCGCCAGCAACTCTCGATCAGTATTCGGGTATCTTTTCTCGGCATCATTTAAAGTTCTCGAGGCGCATCCTATTAGAACTTCTTTCTTGTCTCGCTTTTGCGTAAGGATTGCTCCCAGCGCATAAGCAGAGGCATCTGTTGTTAAAATAAACTCCTTCTTAAAATCGGGGAAAGAAAGAATTGGGGCTGACATTAAACATTTTGATAGACAGTCCATAGCAGTTTGCTGGTCCTTTGTCCAGGCAAACTCTACGTCTTTTTTCAAGAGGGAATATAAAGGACGAGCCTTATTGGCAAAATCCTTTATATAAGAACAAAAATAACCTACGAGTCCAAGAAAAGCTTGGACTCCCTTAACGTTCTTAGGGACTGGAAAATTCTTGATTGCAGCTATTTTAACAGGATCCACCTTGATGCCTTGCTGACTAATAAGAAAACCCAAATACTCGATCTGAGTCTTAAATAACTGACACTTGGAGAACTTAATCTTTAACCCTGCCTTATCGAGGCGATTGAAAATATCCTCCAAGTGTGTCACATGCTGTTTAGCAGAACGGGAGTACACCACTATGTCATCTACGTAGATGTAAGCATAGTCTCCTAGACAGCCATCCAATACGACATGCATTAGTCGTTGGAATATGCTGGGGCTGTTCTTCAAACCCATTGGTAGTCTGACAAATTCGTAGTGACCTAAAGGTGTTGAGAAGGCCGTCTTTCTTCGTTCTTCCTCACGAATCTTTAGATTATAAAATCCGTGAAGCAGATCGAGAGCGGAAAAGTATTTCGCGGAACCTAGTTCTTCAAAGATTTGATTTATCCGCGGCAGAGGGTGTGGATCAGTGATTACATGTTCGTTTAATTTCCGAAAATCAACGACCATGCGCCACCCTCCATCTTTCTTTTTCACCATAAGGGTGGGGCTATTGTAAGGGGACGTAGAAGCCTGGATAATTCCCTGTTCCAAAAGCTCTTCAACATATTCCCCCAAGAGAGGGCGCATCCCAAAAGGGATGGGATATTGTCTCATGTAAATAGGGACAGTTGTATCTAAAGGAATATCTGCTTCGTAGAGAGTACAAAGCCCCAACCTGTCTGATTTTTTAGCCAGTACCTTCCGATGTCTAAATAACATTCGCTTTACCCGATCGATGAACTCGGGTGGACATTCGGAGTTGTTCAGGTTTTCTTCAATAAGACTGGGTATGTCTTCATCGGCGTCTTTTCCATGAATATTTTCTTTCTTTTTTCGGGACCCCTTATTAATATTATATACATACCTAGGTCGGAAGATGTCCAATAACCCATTGATAGAGCCAGATGCGATGGTTAGTCTAGAGGAGATTTCTAAAGGTTCCGTATTCACATTTAAGCACATAACCCAAAGTCTTCCGTTTTTTATTCTAGAAAGACTTCGAGCTACAATCACCTCGCCACCCATTTCGCGGTAGCGCATCGCAGCCTAAAATCCCGTCGAATTCTCTCTTCGCTATTTCAGTTACCAAAAGATTGACCTGCATTACTGGACGATCTTGGTAAAACAACGAAGTCCTTACGAGTCCTCTTACTGGTATATCTCTATCTTCTATTGTAGAAAGAGCGATATTTAACCTTTTTAAAGGGGTTCCAGAAGAAATAAAAGAAGGGGAAATTAACGATACCTCAGATCCAGTGTCGATTAAAAATTTGATGGGTGCCTTGGCGATTGGTGTTGATAAGATGATGACCGGGAGTTTCGTTGTTAGAACTGAAACCCCGGTCTGTTGCCGTTTCCCAAATCCGTTTGTTCGTCTTCGAATCCTTCGACAACAGCTCCTTCCAGCCCTTCCAGTTGCTGGAGAAAATGCACTCCTCGACTTGGTCTTGAGGATCTGTGCGAGGAGGATCTTTGTTCACGTCTCGGTTGCTGTTGTTGTCTTTTCTGGTTTTTATTTCCCTTTCCTCGATGGGATCCAGGGCTAGACGCTCTGGAGTCTGGACTTTTGCTCCTACTTGAAGAGCGACTATTTCTGGAAAAACCAATCGGTCTTCCCTGCCCATCGGTAGGTACCGAGAAAACAAGACGTCGGCTGCGGGATTGCTGGGGAACGCTTTGCGAAGTGTTAGCAGTGGCGCCACTCGGCTGCCCTTTTGAATAACATTCGCTGCTAAAGTGGCCCGGTTTTCCGCAGCTCCAACACGTCCTAGTTGGATTGGCATTATTATTGCCTGGATGTTGTTGCTGTTCGCGAGCGATTGCAGACATCACTCTGAAATTCTCATTTGCTCTTCGGCGCGCTTTTAACTTTTCAATATTAGTCGCGTATTCGAGGGCTTGTGCCATAGTGATAGGAATAGCACCAAGTCTATCATAAAGACTCGGTAACATTCCTTGCAAGAACTGAGAGACCATAAGTTGATCGATGCTCTGCTTTTGGGCGTCATATCGAATCAACTCAATTTTTAGGAACGGGTTCGTACAGAGTTTTGGCTCTTGGCCTTCCACTCTTAACACTTTAATCTTGCTGGGGGCCTCTCCTAGCATTTGCTGGCCCACTCTTCGGATTCTAACAGAGAAATCTAAAACTGATTCTAACTCACCTTGGTAGATAGTCTGGAGTTTCAGCGCGCCTTCTCCCATAAAATTACCTCCGTATGCTAACTCTAATTCTTTAACCAAAACTCGGTAATGCTCATCCGTTAATCCATCGACGCAGCGAAGAAACTCCCGGGCTTTTCCAACAACTTTTTGCAAAATTATGGTTCTCATGTTGTCATCTGTGATGTCACAGCCAACAAGAGCCACACGAATATCCTGCCACCAATCAGCCCAATTCTCGTTGGCAGCGCCAGAGAAATTTGGCAATTGGTTGACAATGCTATTAGTAATTTGTTTGTTGCCCTTGGGAGCGTCTTGGCTGCCCGTTTTCATATTAAAGAACACCACCTCGTCTGAGCTAGGTCGATCTAGCTGGTCAAGAGTTAATTCTTTCGTTAACAGTTTGTTCTTGATACCCACCATCTCATCTAATTCGCGTTGCTGTCGGGTGACCTCATCCTTCAGATGGGTCGCGAACAAAGTTAACTGGGCCGTTTCGATTGCTAGAGTGCTCTCGTCTCTAGCAGCTAAGTTAGGGACAAGAGCATCCACCATCGTATTCCAGGCCTGAATTTGCTCATCATAAAGTTCTATATTGCGCCTATTATTGATAAGCATTGCTTCTGGCAGACGGGGTTGAACTTCGTTTGCCAGATACAACGCATCGCGTTCTACTTCTAGAAGGCGAACCAATTCGCGCAAATATGCTACCTGATCCTCAGGGCTAAGCGCGTTGTCGGATAAAGATACCCACCACCCCCATAGTCATTGTTGGCCGCCTCCCTCGTAGCGCAGGCTATGTGAGTGAGTTGACTCAGTGACCGTGACTGTGCAAATGGTGGAGGGATCTAACCGATTTAAATGACTTGAGAAGTGCTGGTTTCTTAGAAATTTGGAACGTTGCTCTTAGTTGCACTTTTTCAGTACTTACTAATTTTATCCCTCTGCTTTCCTCTGTCACGCGCGTTGACTAAAGGCAGTTGAACACACCGCAGGGGAGTAACAACACTCACAAATTTATAGAAACACAACCTAGTCCGTGCACAGACTAAATTACTTTACTCGTGGAACACTCACCCCCCACAAAAAGAAGACGGACGGCTGCGCCAATTTCTGTTATCCAAATTCACAAGAATCTAGAAAGATCGGTGAGTTTTAAACGAAGACTTAATATTACGTCTAATAAAAAGTTCGTTACCAACCTTGATGTCTCGGATAACAATTTCCTGGTTTAAATTAGGTGTCTTCCGCGTACTTTGCGGGCTGAAGGATTTTTTAGCCAGTTCGGATAAAATAGCAACCAGGATTCATAGAGAGGCAATAAGCTTTTATTGACAGCGCACAACAACAACCAGTCGCGAGTGCTCGGGCACGAATGCTGACGAAAATAGAGAGACACACAGAGTTAAAGAGCCGCGGTGGTCAGGAAACAATACACACACACGCGTTTTCCCGCAGGAGGACAGCAATGCCCTCTCCATTCTTGAACTCGTGACGATGCATAGTTTAAGGAAGCCCCTTTTTGAAAGGAGGCGAGAAAAAGAGAGAAACACACGAGAAATACCGGGGAGTCTGCATACGCAGCTCTACCCATAAAAATAGTTTGGGATCACACCTTCCTAAACCGGACGGAGTTTTCCCATTCTTAAACTGGGTTGTCCTTGAGCAAGTTTTGTTCCCCCAGTTACAGAGAGGATTAAAAGTAACAGGTGTACTTGGCTCATGGGGAACATGACTTACCTTGGTTCTAACCATTGCAATAACACTCATCCAGGAAAATGCAAAAAAAAAATCCTTCGATTGTATCTCTATAATTTCTAGGATGTGAAGCACCACCATTAAGCCCTGCGGAAAAATCCGCCGACATCACTGTCCTCGACCTGACCGACTACTCATTTCAATCGTCTGTCACTTACGCCTGTCCATACGGAAAGGTTTTTAGCGGAACCCTATCCCGGTACCAGGCTTTCACTTGTTTCGGTCCTGTTGGTTGGAATCGCCCTGAAACCCTTTCCTGCGAAAATGGTGAGAAGAAAACAACAAAACAAACAATGAATGGAGTGCCCAAAAATCAAACAAATAGACTCATGCCCACTTTTACCTTTGTGTGACAAGGTTGGGATATTTTTGCAAAATTTTGTGCCCATGAGAACTGCATATAAAGGAAATTATTTTTATGCCAGACTTAAGCTGGCAAATGCCTGATATTTTTCTAATCTTGCAGAAAATGTAGCCTAAAAAATTCATCACTGGGTGTTGTTTTGTCCTGCATTCCTAGCATAGTAATATATTGGAGATTTTTAAGAAGAAAATATTTCACACGCACTGGAGAGTTTTCACAGATATTGGGATAGCAAGGAGCCAACTGTCACCATCTGAGGGTCAAGCTAAAAAAAATCTGCCACAAGATTTGGATAATATCTCAATAAAATGTGTAAACACTTTGAAAACATTTTCAAAAGAAATATTTCTAAAATCTTGATGCATCTTGACAAACTTGAGCTTAAACTGTGGTTATTAATTTAAAAATTAATCTTAGCATAAATTACTGTACAGTATTTACTCAACTACCAAGCACCCTCAGGTAAGATGCAAACCTAGCTTTTTAATCCTAAAATGTATTTAAAGTTCTTATCCCCAGTATAAGATGTCCACTACATTTTTAGCAACTGAAAGACTGCAATATTTCAAAACGTAGAGACACAAGGATTTGAATTTGGACATATGTACTAAACCTGAATTCAATTAATTTTCAATCGTTTCCACTAAAATAATTTTTGTTTAACTTGGTAAAAATCACTCATTATAATCCAGTAGAATGCAAACCCAAGCTTCTAAAACTTTCTAATCTCTCCCTTTGACATGCATCCTACTTTTTTCCCTCTCAACTTTGAGAAAAAACATGTGAAGGGTATTAATTAACCCTTGGATATCAGTGGGTTCTTTTGCATTGTGCTGTGGAGTCAGGATTTCTTTTTTTGGGCAGCAAATTTCAGTTTGACCCAAAGTCACTGAAATGCTCCCAGGTTATTCAGAAGGCCTAAATAGAGAAAAATACAGGAGGAAAATTTTCTATTGCTCTCAGGATTCTCCCATGCAAATCCTATGCCAGGAATGCAGGAAAACATGCTATCCAGTGAAGGATTTTTTTTTAAATTCTTCATTTAAACTTTCTGTTGGGCGGATCAGAAAAAATGTCAGACTTTTTCTCAACTTAGGCATTGGTACAAAACTAGGATTTTTAAAATCAGTGGCACTAAATTAAAAAAATATCCTGACTTTGCCGCACAAGGGCTAAATGCGCCCCTAGAGCAACGCTAATTTATTTTTTAAAGACACCTAGAACTGGTCACTCCTGCTCATGGACGTTTTGAAACTTGAACTGATTTGACATGCAAGTAATTATCATTCAACACTAGGTGGTGGAATATTTGTGGATTCAAGAGATAAAGAAGAAGATGTGAAATTTAGTCTTGAAATATTTCGAAAATAAGTAATGAACTTACTCTTTAAAAAAAATTTTTTTTTCTGTTTCACACCAGACATGTTCATTCCGTCCTCAAGTGGTCCCGGAAATTCCTGGGATGCCGTCAAGAAATGCTACGCAAACGGAAGGGCTGGATTAGTGGAGATAGTCAACATAACTGGAAGAAATATCTTCAGGAGCCTGGCAAACTATAACAGCGATCATTTGTATATGACATCTGGCTCAAGGCTGTAAGTTGAGAAGAGGAATTTCTGACCTTACGTGATACTACCAAAGACGGTATTGCCGTAGAGTATTTATTCAAGTTCAAGTACCATGCTCCTAAAATGAGAAGGGACGATAAATTGTCCCTTCTTTTTCATAAAAATATTGATGCAACCAGTAAATTAATTGTGAATGAATACAAACCAAACAAACAAGAAAGGTTTAGTTTGCTTTTACTGTACTCTATTAACGTTTTACCTGAAATTTTCGAAGTACAGACTACCTTTTTTTTGTGGGCACAGGCGTGACATGCAAATGGGCATAAACAATGATTCAGCTTTTTGGGACTCAACTGGCATTCAACTGGTTCCCCTCAATCCCTCTGCTCTGTGGAAAAGCGGGGAACCCAGCAACAACATGGGAATTCAGTATTCAGTGAATTTCAAAGATGGCAAACTCGAGGATGGGCAGTATAACAAGACCGATATCTACGCTGGATGCCAAAAATCCACACCAACCAGTGAGTTAACGTGTTAGAAATAAATCTGCGCAGTTAAGTTTTGTAAACATTATGCATATAAACTGTGGGAAACTCTTCTTAGATCTTTCAAATCTGTTTCAAGTTTCCATTTCTACACCTTTGTGCATTTTCAGAAGGATTTTGAAACAATGTGAGCATCAGAAGTTGATTCTGTGCGCAAGATCAGAGTAACATTTCAATTGACAAAATTCATTGGCACTGAGACACTACTGTTTTATCCAGGAAATGTTTGAGTTTGTTTCAAAGATCTCTTTTGTAAATTACACCTTGCCCCAAGGAAGTGTACAATGTTTTTTCCTGCAGCTGTTTCCTTGTTTTGAATTTCCTCTTCTTAGGTCATCCCATGTTAACAGCATGACCTGTTTCTTGTTCTCTTTAAAGAATAAAAAACTCCCCCTCACTGCTGACAGTGAAAAATGCCCCTAATACAGTTGCACCTCTAAAATCCGAATTTCAGAAGTAAATATCTTATAAGACTGTTTTGAATATACTGTATATCGTGTTGGGTATTGTACATTTGATATTTGCTTCATGAGGTCTGCGCACTCATGAATAATATGCAAAATACCTCAATGAACTATATATCTTAGGAGATATATATATCACCAAGGAACCACATATTCCTCAGATTTAATCCTGTGTGGTTTACCGACCTTTCGTTACGGGCTTTTCGTAGATGCGCCTTTTCGTTACAAGGACACATTTGTTACCAAACATTTTGTTACCGACTTTTTGTTACAGCACTTTTTGTTACGAAGATTTCTTGTTACACGTCATCTTTGTTACGGGTACATTTTGTTTGGTGTACTATTGGATTCAGGCTAGACAATGTTACCAACTCATTTTGTAACCAAAATTTGTATCTTCTTCACTGTCCCAGGTTTCCTGAAATCTAGGCAGCAATGACAAAAGCCGTTCATCCGTTTTTATGAGTGTCTTTGACTTCTGTGTAATGATTCCTCCTTCTCAGATAAGTATCCGCTGGCTTTTGGCATATAATTCCTCTTTCTGTACTGTGCTCATGAATTTATATGGAAGGATGATTTTTCCCCATGATTGTCTTGAACCTTCGTTTTTTCGCGTTTTTTTTCAACAACTTTGGTCGTTGAAAGTTGTTACACCAACTTTCAGCAGGTTTTACTTGGCCTGCAAAAAAAACTTAGGTTGCAGCAAACCAGTCTTGGAGGTACCTGGTTCAATCCCACCCCTAGGCACATTTTTTTTGGAAATTGTTTCCTATTTTCATTTATAACTTCCTCAATTTTCAACTTCTTTCAACCGAAAAAATTTCAAAATTTGCAGTTGATAAATAAAATTTTAAAAATTTAATAAGGTTTTATTTTGTTGTAACAAAATAGTGTTTCTGTAACAAAATTGTAATGATACAAAAGTAGCCTGTAACAAAAGAGCAATGTAACGAAGTACTACTGTAACGTACATGATTGTTACAAAGTAGTGCCAGTAGCAAAAATGTTTTGTAATGAAAGGCCGCCCGTAACGAAAAGTCGCATTTGCAAATAGCCTGTAACGAATAGTCGCTTTACCATATTTCTTAATTTCGCATCTTCGCGGCCAATACGTTTTTTTTCTAAGTTCTTGCCTAATGTGGTATGAAGTCGCAAAAGCGCTGTATAATAATATTAGCGTTTTTACCTTTTTTTTATGATCCTTCTGAAAAAAATACCGTTTCATCATTACTTGTGTAATGACCACATTTCCTCTTCGAAGTTTAAAAGAATTCCAGTTGAGAAAGGCGTCGTCTTGGTGGACCCGCAATAAATCAGTCTGAGGCTTTCGTCCTATCCAATAAAATATTTGCTATCCCTTTTGTAGAATTGTCGGTTTCAAAAAATGAATGCGGCCTAGATTCGAGAAATTCAAGTAGATTTTTTTTCCCCTTCAGACTGTTCATGTATTCCCCTGTTAAAAAAGTCACTGCTGTGCTTGTATTCGGACGTGGCCTATATATTCCATGTTTCGTTTTTCAGAAACAACGCACAGTTTACAGATTAACGCTCGTCAAGTCGTGGAATGCGGAAGAGATCGATGGTTACGTGAATCTCGTGGCACTCGGAAATCCGGATTTCATTGAAATCAAAGGCGTTACTTATTAGATACAAAAGTAGCCTGTAACAAAAGAGCAATGTAACGAAGTACTACTGTAACGTACATGATTGTTACAAAGTAGTGCCAGTAGCAAAAATGTTTTGTAACGAAAGGCCGCCCGTAACGAATTGCCCATAACGAAAAGTCGCATTTGCCAATAGCCTGTAACGAATAGTCGCTTTACCATCCTGTGTCAACCTTGGTTACTTCTCAGAGAACCTTGTATACATTTAGCATGATTCTCTTGAAAACTTGCCTATTCTATTTGTTGACTGATTAACAATTGACTGTGAATAAAAGTAAAGTTTGATAACAAAACTGTTTTAATAATCCAGACAACAACTGAGGTTTTCCAAAATTTTGATCTTTTTTCTGTGTGTGGGAAATTAATCATTGCAAAATTACGGAGAGATCACATATCCTTGCATTCATATAGAAAATTTTTCTTCCTCAGGCTGTAGACGACCTCCTCTAGGAACTCAGCACATGGCGATGAACATAACAGTCAATCTCACCTCAGACACAGAAATGTACCCATATGGATCCATTGCAGCGTATAAATGTCCTCCAGGGAAACTGTTTCCCAATGGCCAAAATGTTCTTCTCGCAACCTGCTACGGATCAGCAGGTTGGGACAGAGATCTGTACATGTCCTGCAGCGTTGCACCAGGTACTCAATATTGCTTTTTCTTTCTTCGAAAAAAAAAAAAGACTGACGATTCACATCAGACCTGCCAGACACCTCTTAACCAGTAATTCATGTTGCAAGGCAACTGTTCTCTTGTGCTTCCTGACCCCTTGATTGTCAGTTGAAGTTTTGAATTTTGCCATTGCCAGGTCAAAAATAAATTCGAACGAATATGATAATTTCATCGTTGTTTGACGGATGTTGTGGATTTTTCCCCAGCAACCCACATTTTTTTTATTGTGACACGTAGAAGTGCCATTCAGACCAAAGAATTAGCCCATTCAATACAATGAGTAAAAAGGGGAAAAAAATTAAATTATAGACAGTTCAGCGTCATGCAGATATTACATTTTAATTCAAATTTGCAGGAGAGTTTTTCACAGATGTTTTTTTCTAGGTTGGATTTAGAAGATACAGTAATCAAAAAAAGAAGCTGTAAAATATATACAGTAGTACTGTTTTTTAAATTAAGCAATAACTTTTTGAAGTTTTTTTTGAATTTTTTTCTGAAGTTACTCTTTCGAGAATCTTACTCAGTTCTCTTTTTTTGTGCGTCTTTCAGACGTTTTCGAACCAGACCATCAGTTCTTTGGCTCTGTGTGGGAAGCTGCAGAGCTTTGTTTCTCTCAGGGTGCAGGGTTGCCAATCGTCAGGAATTCCTCTTCTTTCTGTGACTTCTGGTACGCAGTGAACCCTGCTAAAAACTCGACGTACTATTCGGGACACTCGAGGGTGTAAGTGAAAGCTCTTTTCGCTGCTTCATCGCATGGATTTAATTTCGGTTCTTAAAAAAATTATGGATTTATGTTATAATTTTCATTTTGTAGGTTCCATCAGCTTGATAGCCAAAATATTATTCGGATATTTTATAAAAAAAATTGCAACGACAAAAGTATTTTACTGGTCCCATTGGCTGTGTTATAACATGATTTCACTGCCTAGCATTGTATTTCTTTCCTTTTAAGGCAAGACGTCCAGAGTGGGCAAGTGGACAAAACTGTTTACCGAAATCCAATAGATAACACTGAGCTGTCCAGCTCATTGTTCAGCTGGGGATCTGACGATCCTTCGGATTCCACAAATGAAGAACTGATTTTAGCATTCAGCAGTGATAAAATGATTGACATGTTCACAGATTGCAACAAGTCCCCTACCAGAAATTTCTTCTGTAGAACAGCTTGCCAAAAGTCATCTCCAACAAGTGAGTTAACTTCCTTTGCAAATTTTATAGCTCAATAAATGCAAAGTTGGTTTGTACACCATATGTATTTTTTGTAGCCTGCAGAGCCCCGCCAATCACACAGGCCAACATCAATGAAGGCATGACTTGTGTGGTTTCAGGATCACAGCAGTGTAATGCCACCACAACACAAGCTTTTGCATTCCACACTGTTGCCAGTTACACATGTCCCAAGGGAACAGTGTTTGATGGGACTTCAAGCAGGTTCCTAAATGCAACCTGCTATGGTAATGTGGGATGGAAGAGACCCATGTCACTTGCTTGCGTTCCTCCTGGTATGTGTAAGCTGTATACAGTGGTATCTCATATAATGAACTCACATAAGTGAGTAAAACAAATTTGTGCACAAGTCAAAAATCCAAACACAGATTTAAAATAAAGGTAAATCAGGAATAAAAAGAGAGCAGGAATTCTTCACAATAAAGGTTTTGTGAAGACTGCAAAGCTTGGAAAAAAAGATAAACCATCCCTGGATTTTTCTCAGTGCATTCTCTTAATCCATAACATACCTCACAGAACAAACATGTTTCACACATTGAACCAAGAAAGTCAGTTATTCTACTTACACGAACAGACACAGGCCAGCTCTTCCTAACATCATTGCATGGCCCATAACAAACCAATGCATAAATAACTGGAATAAATTGCATTTGTTACATGAGGTACTACTGCAAAGCATTTTTCTCATGAGAATAAAAACAACTATTCAAGGGAATTTTCTTCAACAGCTACTGTGACAATTGGGAGCAATGAATATTTCTTGATCCAAGTGGACAAAAGCAAGACAAGCTCTGAAAAAAGAAACACTTACTGGGCAGAAGCTTATTGTCACTCTGAAGGTGGAACTTTGCCATTAGTGAACTCCAGTTCTGATTTGACCACTCTTGGGACCTATCTTTCATCACAAGGGGCAACATCTGTTCATCTTGGGAACAATATTAGGTATGGGATTTATATTTTTTGCATTTCATCCATACCTTTGAGTTGAATGAGGGATACCATGATTTTTTAAACTTTCATATCATGGTACATTACAGTGCCTGAACTTTCAAAATATTTTTTATTTGGACTTTTTTTTATCATGTAGTACCTTGCAATTTGACCTTCCCGCAATTCAGCTGTCAAATTTGCAGGGAGTTTGACTTGCAATTTGACCCTTGCCCTAGAATTTGACCTGATTCACTTTTTTTAGATTTTGTACTTGCATTTTTGAATTTTACAGTGTCTCAAAATTCAACCATTTTGCAATGCAGCTATAGTATGGCAACAGATTAGGGTAAAATTGCAAAGTACCATCTGTAATGCATGTACAGTATATAGTGGTAAAATTGTGGGTAACTTGGAAATCAGTTGCCAGCAAAATTTCCAATGACAATGAGGGCTGTATAATGATGCTACATAGTACATGAAATGTCAAGCAGTTTTTTGTTTGAGATATAGCTCTTATAAGTTCTTTTTGATTGCTACATAAAATCGATTGCTCTTCATTTCCTCCCATTATCAGTTTGTAGCTTTTAATATCTTCCTTTAGTTTTGTTTTTGAGAATATGAAAACAAATTGAAATTTTACATTTTCAGACCATTGATCAAAAATATGGATTGGCAAGGGACTTATACACAAAACTACTCATCAGCATGGATCTCAGCATTTCCAAGCCTTCCAGAAATGACAGATTGGCCAAATTTTGACAAAAAACTTCAGCAGAACTCTAGCATGTGCTCAGGGGCATATGCAGTCAATTCCTCATGGTCTGTGTACCCAAGATACTGCCCAACACCTTATAATGACAATGACTTTCTACTTTGCCAAAAAGCAGCATCAGGTGAGGTCTCATTTGCCTGATAATTCATTTCAGCTTATACTGAAGGCTGAACTTCCAGTGTGTGTTGCTGGGCAAATGATGACTTTGGGTCCCAGTAGCGCCTGGAGCCATGGATTGGGCAATCCTACACCAAACTCCAATTACGGCTCCATTGTGAATTTCACTTGTCAGGGCTTAGAGAGGACAATATCTACCCAAGTGATTTCATTTTGTATAGGACGGCTTGGCTGGAATGTCACATTCAAAGACTTTCAAATTTGCACTCCACTGGAACCATATGTGCTACACAACACTTCTGCCTCTAATTTTGAAGAAGCACTTATAATGTGCCACACAAACTACAGTCTTCAGCTGCCAGTGGTGCAGAGTGAGGCAAATGTCAGTCAAGTTCTAGCAAGGGTGAACACAAAGGACACCAATCTGTGTGTCCCACTAGGCAATCATTTGACCAGGTAGTTTTAGCATCCAAGCTACCAAGCAATGCATTTTGGCCTCTTTATATATTGCATTATATATTGAATTACCTAAAATCATATATCAACTACAGTACTCCAATGCATCTCTGATCTTTCTTCTATAAGTTAACTTTATTTCAAGTGTCTAAGTTCTGTTTATTTGAAGGATGAGGGAACTATTGTTAAAAAATAACCTGATTTGATAAATTGCAGCTTCACGATGTACAGTATTTAAACACAACCCATCATTTTGTTATCCAAATTCACAAGAATAAGAAAGATCGGTGAGTTTTAAACGAAGACTTAATATTACGTCTAATAAAAAGTTCGTTACCAACCTCGATGTTTCAGATAACAATTCCTTCCTGGTTTAATTTAAGTGTCTTCCGCGTTCTTTGCGGGCTAAAGGATTTTTAGTTAGTTCGAAGTAAAATAGCAACCAGGATTCGTAGAGAGGCAATAAGCTTTTATTGACAGCGCACAACAACAACCAGTCGCGAGTGCTCGGGCACGAATGCTAGTGGACAGAATACAGCATTGCGGTTTTAAGCAGGTGGTCAGCCAGCAGGTTATATGACTCGCTGGCTGGCCCAAAAATAAGACCTCATACACACACGCGTTCGCGAGACAGCACGCGTGACGGGCGTATTATGCATGCGTCAGAAATACTGTCAGAAATACCAGAATCACGTAGGAAGGATGGAGAGAGAAAATCGGGCTAGAGAGCCATCAAGGGCTACGTAAAAAATAATGGATCACAATTTAAAAAAAGGAAGATTGTTATGGAAGTTGGGTTTTAATAAACTTATTTTCACCTTTGATCTCAGTGTACATTATTTTTGTCCTTAATTCATGTTTTTTTTATACTGAATTATTTTTTAGCTTTTTCTGAATCAGTGATACATTTCAGAAGATGAACCTTTTTGCAGTTTCTATTTCAATACTACAATTGTATTTCAGGTGGATGATACTTTTTGAATTCCTTTGTGCAGCAAGCAAGTGTCAGATGCAGGAGGTGACTTGAAAGTAGCCTGGGATACTGCTTATCCAGGAGTGCAAGGGCTTTGGCTTCCTGGAGAGCCAGCATCAAATTTGTCAAACTTGTGTTCACTGTTGGCAGTTGATTCTTCATCAGACGTCAACACCTTCAAGCTAAAGTCAGTCAATTGCAAGTCTGGTTTCAGCAGTGTGCCATGCACTGGAGCACTGGTCTGCGGTCTGTCCAATGATACAGGTGCTCTATATACACATGAGGCTACTTATTGGGAATTATTTCAAAGTCAATATTTCATGGTGATTCCAAAAATGTATTTCACTTTGCTCAAAATAGGTAGATTTCTTGCAACATTCTCTCTAAGAATGAAATCCATTGGTAAAGTTATTGATTATTGTTTGCCTATTTCAGCAATGAATATTGTTATTGGTGGAAATCATATAATAATTCCCCAATATATATTGCGAAAATATTTGCTATCAAGCAAATATAGATACTTGGTGTTATTCATAACACCAGGAAGAGATAATAGATTAATATAAAAATATAATAATATTCTTCCATCCCTGTCCATCCCAGTACATGTGGACTGACAGACAGAAACTGACAGACACATGCACAGACCCTTGACAATGCGCAGACCCCTGACAACGCGTGTATAGAAACCCCAGCGCATGGCAACCCCCTAAATGCGCAGTACCCATCGGCGCATGTTGATCATTAAATAATACCTGCACAAGTGCATGTCCTACTCCCCTTCTGAATGTACCCCCAATCCTGCGGTATATAAACCCCTGGCAGGATTAAGGAAGATAGGCATTATAGCTCAGGAGACAGTACAGTTCAGAAGTCATCAGATCCCTGTGTCCTGTGGTTAATATTGTGTATACTGTGTTATTGAATAGAAGACTATTTTGTCTGGCAAGACTATTAGTACTTTATCATTTCCAAACCTCAATTAAAAGGAGATGCACGTTACTCTCTACGTTTCCAGGGATAACAATATATTTCCTTCATAACTGCTAGTACACCTTTGCCAGTTTAACAATGTCAAGTCAGATTCCTAGTGACCATCAAATACATTTGAGTTAAAAAAAATTGAGTTAGACAAACTACCATTTTTCCCAAAAGGAAGATAATTAAAGGAATTTGAATTTAATGATGCTTTTTTGTCCAAAAACTATCTTGAAAGAAGTTGACCAGATGATGTTAAACTTGGAGACAAAGGTTTATTTGCTCAAAAATTGTTCAAATTGCTTTCAAGAAGCATCCAGTGACATTTTAATTGCTTTCCCCTTTTATGTGCTACCAAACTAAAAGCAAAAATACATCCAGAAAATCTGAGTTATGTAAGAGGTTATTGTGGATAGCCCTTGACCTAGGTTTTTTTTAGTGAACTGTTGCTAAGCTAGCTCAGACAGGGCTCTGTGAAAATATGTGAACATGGAAGGTTTGATTTATCAAGGCACAACTTCTGATACTCTTTTTGCTTTTTTTCAAAGGTTGTAGTCAACCTCCACCATTGAGAACAGAGGTCTCAAGTATGAGTGATGGCAGTGATGCAAATACTGGGTCTTGGTTCCCATTTTTAACCAATGCTACATACAATGCTTGTGAATGTGGGGAAGTGAGAGGTAGGATTGACAACTCATCTGCATCACCTGTCATTGTTGACACAGATGTGACATCTACTTGCTTTGGTCAGTTTGGATGGTATGCCCCTGAAATCTTCCCATGCATCCCTGGTATGTATCATGACTGTTTGATATCTGCATGTACTCTTTCTTTTTAAGCTTTTCCACAGATTATTTCATGTGAAATAATGGCAGTTTGGGAGACAAAACTTAAGCCCAAATGACTATTAGGACCACTTTTGAAATTGTGCTATCATGTGTATTATATGATGGTGTGCCAGTAGATTTAGATGCGGTATGTTAAAAAACAAAGTTTAAAGAGCAGCATTGATAACACGTTTCAATTTTTAGAAGAAAAAGAACTGAGAAATGTCTTCAAACTTAGCTCAAAATCTGTAAATAAATGTGTGAAAATAAAATAATACAATAAATGAAAATACTGAAAAGGGGAAATAATTTGAAAAATATAAAAAAGAAGGAACAGTGCAAATGTTGGGATGAAAATCTGTAAATTTGGCCTGACTTGTTTCTGAGGAGATAACTTTTTTCTCTCACAAGTTCAAATCTCACACTTGAAAATATTATTGCAAGATAATTGTTTATGACATTGTGTCCTATTTCAACCAGGCATGGGAAAATGTCCAGGGAAACCAGTCCTCAGCTCCTCCAGCAATGTTCTGAGTGCACCTGTTTGCTCCAATAATAGTAATGGATGGAACTTCACCTGTACCAACAGCAGCTATGTCTGGGTGTCTGGGGCTGATTTTAACCTCTTGGGCTGCAATTCAACTCTGAACATTTGGGAGACTTCAAATGACACCTGTGCAGAATTGACAACTACAGCAGAAAGCACATCTACATCAACTAGTACATCTACATCAACTAGTACATCTACATCAACTAGTAGCTCAAGTATAGCCACATCAAGTACCAACCCAAGCACTATTACAACTGAATCAGCAACATTATCCTCAACAACACCACCATCATCAACAACTATTGGAACAGCAACAAGTTCTAGCAGCACTGTCTTGACATCAAGTGACAGTTCTACTTTGACAAATACACAATCATCATCTACCACATCACAAACACCAGCAACTGATACAGCAGTAAGCTCAAGCACCTCATCCACTTCAACTGTCACATCAACAATCAGTGAGTTTTCCTAAAGCTTCCAATGTCTTGGGATTAAAAAATTGAGTAAGCCATGGATCACAATAATCAGCTAAGATCCAACAGGTAACTCTTTTTTAAAGTTGCTGAATGATTTACATTTTAAACTTATGTCCGAACAGAATCTCAAGCAACTCATCAGTTTTGTAATGATCAGAATTCAAGCTGCAACATGATTCTCACAGCAAATGAGAGTAGACTGCTGATGATATAGAATATCCTTCTTGGCATGAATATAAAAGGCCAAAAAAAAAGTTCCTGACAACTTTAGGTCAGCAAGATTGCCTGACTGTATCTGTAAGTGCTGAAATAGAATAAAAGAAATCTTCATTTGTTTTTTTCTTCATGTTTTTGAAGTGAGCTGACAAAAAAGGTTTTGTAAGCCTGTTGATTGACCAAGTGTAAACTTGTATGAAGTTGGGGAGCATATGATTATCTCAATTAATGCGATGCTTCACAAGTCCTCAGAAGAAGTTACATTTTCATCCACATCATTTAAAAGAAAATCTTGCAATTTTAAGGTACAAGCGGAACTACACCATTGACAGACGCATCATCTACATCAACACAAAGCTCAACATCATCATCAGGATCAACATCAACACTATCTACAACCACAGGAGCTCCAACCGAACCTGGTTTGTGCCAAAAAACCTTTCTTTGTAATTTTGGCATGCTCTGCACAGCATCTTAGATCATACGCTTTTTTGCACTGAGGGGAAAAATGGGTCATAGTTTATGATACAGGAAGGCAGCAGCAGGTCTTCATCATGTTCAAGAATGTCTGGCTGTGATCATCACTTTGAATTGTTTTGGAAGGTTCAAGATCTGTGACTCCTGCTTTGGTTCCAGGTCATAAACCTCACCAGGAACCATCTCGAATGTGTTATTTTGCAACAGGTAGGTCAGTCCAAGGAAAGTTGTCCTTCTGGCTAGACTCTCTCCCAAACATTGCCTCTTCCCTTTTTGGTGCCACATGGAAGAAAAATAAAGGATTTTTTATGAAGCGGCTCGTAATTAATTCTTTAAAATGTTATTTCATTTAAACTAGGACTCTACCTCAGGCACATTAAAAAACTATGCAGCAAAATGAAATTTGTTGCATGGTGGTAAGTGCAAAAAATCAAATCATGAAACCATTGATGGTGCAAGGCATGAGTGAGTCTTAATTTGTGAAACAAAATGAAATGGAACCAATTTTGCTACAATCATTCATATTAGTTCATTCAATTATTAGCTTTTCTTTGGCACAGATTATTATATAAATATATTTTCAGCAGACCAAAATTTGGTTGTGGGTATATATGTGTATGTTTTTGGGCCAATTCCACTCAAATAAAGGCGATTGTTTACTTGAGGGTTTATGGTACTACAGTAAATGCACTAATCTAACCTGATTGGAAAGGCATAATCCTTGGAATGTTCTTCATAAGATTTCCTTCAGCATCTAGAAACCTTTCTGGTCTGAATTCATGTGGATTTTCAAAGCTTTTGCTGTCCTGATGCATGCTGAGTATGGAAGTTATAATAATGGTACCCTGTGAAAAGAAAATTCAACTCCAGGAAATTTCATCAACAACATATCCACACACCTTGGGCACTCTGTAACCACCAATATCCATATCCTGAGAGACTTGTCTGTTGAGTCCAAATGGTACAACGGTGATGTACCTCCAGACTTCCCAGATGGTTGCTACAGTGTAGTGCATACTAAGGGCAGGACATTTGAGCTTCATGAACTAAATTAACTGTACAGGTGGTACCTTGCAATTCAACCTCATGCAATTTGGCTGTCCCACAATTTGATAGTCAAATTTGCTGGGAGGTCAACACACAATTTTACCTTGGCCTGCTTCAGCCATTTCTCTAGGGTTTGTACACTGCTCTTAAATGATTTTACAAAGTTTATTAAAATTCAACCATTTTACAATTCAACCATAGTATTCCAGCAATGGATTAGGGTCAAATTGCGGGCGCCATTTCAAAAGCCACATGCTCTAAATTAATACCCATACCCAGATTTTTCAGTCTGAAATTTGTAATGACCAATTTTTGTAATGATTTCAAAACTGCAATGCTTCAAAAAAGGCAGCCAACTTTGAATTTTGAACTACTGCACTTTAAATAGCTTCCATAAAAGCAAATTTGTCTGATAAAACTGGTCAAAAATGTCCCATTACAATCCAGTACAGGTAGTACCTCCCAATTCAACCCTAATCCATTGCTGAAATCGGTTTAAATTGCAAGACAATGTCAAATGGCATGTTTTCTACATGGAATTTAATGTTTCATATCTCTCCATAGGTCAAATTGAGCAGCAGAGATCAAATTGAGAGTTATGACCTCCCAACAAATTTGACCATAAACTTGTGGGATGGTTGAATTGCAAGGTAATGCACTCCTAAACTTATAAAACTTTTTGGAAACTTTATACCACCTATGATGTGCACTCTTTTTTTATATCAATTTTGAGAAGAAAAGGTGCTTGTGGTACTCAGGTAAATATGGTACTTATTTTTAGAAAATACTGATGCATTCAAAACTCACTGGTCTGCATCAGAAGAACAGGGTAGTCTTGCTGTCCCAACAACTGCATCAACTTCGTCACACACCTTTCGCATTATTGCTGGGTTTTGAATTAAAATCAGGACTATCCAGCGCAAAGTGGTGGAGGTAGTTTCTGCTCCAGCCGTGAACAGGTCAACCAAGGTCGCCTCAATCATCTCATCTTATATTTTAAAAGAACGGTCAGCATATTTTTCAATATCCAGTAATCATCTGGATGAGATCTTACCGGATATGTAATTCTTTTCTTTGTCCTGAAAACTTTGCCATTTTTTCTGTTCGACTAGGAAACAGTCGATCAAATCACGGGGCGACTCGGCATCTAACGTTTCTCTGTGCTCCTGAAGAATTTTCTGCGTAAACGAATCGATTGATAATCCGAAAACTAAATGAAACTCTATTAGATACAATATTTCTCTCACTTGCATGTAAGCGTAGAAATAATCTCTCTTCTGCTCCAGACTCGGAAATCTCAGGAATCTTGAAGGAGGATCGAAGATGTTTAATCCCGGGAACAAAGAGAGCAAGTTGAGGATAGTGAAGTCGATCCTCACTTGGATGACTCGGAGAATATCAACAAATTCCTGGTCTTGTGCAGTTACTCTTTTACCTGATGAAATATGATTTGAATTCCAGATTTCACAGATGATTTTTATCTCACAGGTAAGGATCTCTTGAAAATGTTTATACATCTTACCAGAGCTGGGAACATTAATCTACCTTTGTTGAAGAAGCCTGCAGAAATTTGAAATTTTTATCCGTAATCCATATGATTTATAATATTTTTTCATACCTTACCTATAAATGAAGGTCAGAGCTTGAATTTACGCTGAGCAATGATCTCTTATGACAGTCATATTTTTATACAGTTGGTACGTTGCAATTTGACCATCCAGCAATTTGACCAATAAATTTTCAGGGACGTTGACTTTCAATTTAACCCTTGCCCACAATTCAGCCTGCTTTGGCCACTTTTTTGCATTTTTTTACTGATATTTTTGAATTTCACAAAGTGCCTCACTATTTGACTGCTTCCCAATTTGACCCTTGTTTGTCAAAAAAATTAGGGTCAAATTTCAAGGTACCACTTGTATATTACCATCAAGAAATTAAAATTAATTGATGTTGCACAAAGTTTGAGAATTTAATTATGATCACAAGTAAAAGTGCTGGCATCAACTTAGGATTTAGGAATGATCTCAAAATTTTGTCAGAAAATGTTTTATGGCATGCAAGAATTTGTGACCTGAAATATTTATAGTAGAAAGGTCATGTTGCAAAATGTTTCAATTTTTCAGTGTACTATTCATATAATTGCCCGTTTTTGAGACTGCATAAGCCTCTTCTGTTACAGAAAAATTAAATTTTGTTACTTGCAGGCCAAGAGCCACCAAATTACATTGGTGACAGCAGCATTCAGGTTCTCATCAAGAACCGCAATTATGGATCTCCCCCTTTTTTCAGCTGAAACAAACACGGAATCCATCATTGATTCAAATTCTTGCAAAATCAATGAGTCCAAGGAAGACTTTCCAAAGCCAAAGTCCTTCAGGTGCCTGAGACAGAACCTCCTATGTTGTTTCCACACATTCCCGTTGCTGTGAATCAATCCTGGGTCAACGTGAATTTGAGTTTATTTTCCACCAGTAGATTGAAAGACAGAAAAATTCCTTACCGAGGTTCTGAAAATTCATGAAGAATCTGTTGAAGAATAACTGAGGCCTGTCTGAGAGACACTCAGTGCCTAAAATTCGTTTTGCAATGTCAAAATCGCTGACGATGACTGCTTCCAGTTGCCCTAATTTCACGCTTTTTTTTGGTACGTGATAAGGAGGAAATTTATGAAAACCGAACTTTTTAATTGTGATTCAATGAATGATATTCAAATAACCTGCAAACAGGTCCATATTCCTGGCACCATTTGCTATATTGCAGACCAAACTTGCCACTTTTGAACACAGGCAGCAAATTGCCAACTAAAGGCCATCTTGGAGGTCCTGTAAAACTTGGACAGTTTACACACAATTTAAAATTGATCATGAATAATTCCCAAACCTGGAGGGTAGTTTGGCAGCCTTCGCATGTTAAACCACAGAGATGCAAAGAAACACACCAGAAATGTAAGAACCAAGAAAAACCAAGTCATTTTCGTGCCTGACACTTATTGAGAGTTTCTAGTTTCTGTCAAGTCTCTGGGTCGTTCCGATAAAAGTCAGCGACTGTTGAGTGATAAGGATGGCCTTGTTTGACGAAAAAGTCTGGTTTCAGATTAAAAAAAAAGTTAAATAAAGGCTTGTCACTTCTAACATGCATCTTTACTATGTTCAACCACTTTTAGTTGAAATTCATTGGACCAGCAACAAAATTAGGCTTGAGGAGGTTTTAAGTCAGCAAAACAAGCATTTTTGCTGGGGGAAGAGGACAAATTCGAGGAAGTTGAGATTGGTGATATTTTGGGCCTTAGACTGATTCCTGAAGTTTAGTTGACTGGATGCTGAGCTTGAAGGCAATGTTTTAAATGTACAATTAGTCTTTCATTTTTTTTTATCATTTTTTATTTCTTTGATTGCTTTTCTCTTTCCTGCGTCAAAAAAATATCCATGAGGCCTTGATAAAAATTAAGTCCTGGAGAACTTTATACTGAGGTTTTCTGAAAAAAAAATTCAGACTGGGGCGACTTTGAAATACAATACTTGACATATTGGGAGGTATTTGACTTGGGGATGTTTGAGGTTCCATTTTATCATATTCCTTTATTTACTTGTACAATATTCTAAAAAGAGTTTGTCAGGTTTTTGCTCATTGACATGTTTTAGTGGGTTTCTTATCACTGTTTCCTCATATCTTATTATGCACTGGAAAAATCGACTATATATTATTGAATAGTCTTTGAAGACTTCAAAATGTCTCAGCATAGATACAGGTTGTGCGGAATTTTCTCGCGGTCCCTCTATGAAACAAGGCGCCAAATTGGAGCCAAAACTGTAATCCAATCGGCGCATCACCGGGATGCGCCAACACAAACGAAAGTTAAAACCGATTCCCGCGAAAGGGGTATCCTAAAATAAAACGCAAAACAAATTGGCAAAACAAAGACCCCGAGGCCAAAAAAGGAGAGCGATCCCCGGAAACGGGATAAAACAAATCGCCGAAAAAGTCGGCGCCACCCCTTTTGACAGGGGGACATCGACTCCACTAAAAACGCGGGGTCATTCGACCCCTCAAGACTTCGCGAAAACACAAAACCAGCTGTCAAGAAGAAGACGAAAAATCTCGTCTCTTGTATCGTAAAACAATTTGTCTCCCGAATTCGGGACGTTTCGAACTGTCAAAACTCGAGCTTCGAAATGCTCAACTGGCAACTTTACAATCTTAACAGCCTTTTTGCAAACTGTCAAGACCCATGTTTTTCAGCAGAAAGCTAATTGAACAAACGGCTGGAAGATCGTAAAACCAACCACCCGGTTTTCGGGAAAATACGCATTTACGAAACCTTTACGAAAAACAGCAGATGCCACCACCTGGTGTTTTCAAATTTGCGCAAACAAGGAAAACCCGCCAAAATCGGCGCAAAATCATATATAAACCCCAGAAAATTGGGCAACATAGTCAGTCAGGTTTAGAAGGTCGAACTGCTGAAGTTGTGTTCTAAAAATTCGGAATTCGGGACTTAGAAAATTCTATACTACCAGGGCGATTTCGAAACATCGCGAAATCTAAAAGGCGTCGGTACTTTGCTTTTTCTTTCGGTTCTTCAACCCTTTTGTTTGTTAAGAACGGAACTCGTTTTCTTAATTTATATTCCCAACGCCAAGTGTGAATACCTTGTCAAAATTGAGACTTGACCCAGTTACGAAATTCTAACTGTAAAGGAAATCAAGTCCACTTCTGGACTACTTGAGATCCTACGAGGCCGAATATTGTTCATTGTTGCAAATCTTGTACATCTGAGTGTGTATACCTTGTATTTTGTACAAACCGTGTGTATAATTTAACAAGAAGTGTGTGTGTGTGTG